TGTCTGGTAGAGACAAGTTAGTCCAATCAATCTGATTAACAATATCTTGTCAGTGTGAGAGACTGCATCTGCTGAGCTCTGAATCCCACCCTCACTATCTCTTTCACCCATTGGAGAAATGGGAGGAGGGAAAGGCACCTTAATTTCACAGATGTGAATTGACTGTAGACATCTTCACAGATCACAGATCTAGATGTAGTTCATAGGTCACAGATTACAGATCACAGGTGTAGCTGACAGATATGTGGCTAACTAAGCCACACCATTGTGGGTATTTTCAGAAAGCACATCACAGGTTGCTGAAGACTTTATGCCAAGCCCAAGAACCCAATTTCTCTTCTGCTGGTCAAAGGACCAGGAATTGATACTGAAACTTCTGAGCTAGCCAGAAGCTCTCTGGACAGTAACCTAAAGACCCACAGAGAGTTGTTTTTGTAGAGAATAAAGCAATCAGGTACTTTAAGTACAGACATAAAATTCTAGTCTGGCTTTACTATAGGGTTTCTGTTGTCAATCCAATCTGAGAAATTCAGTCAGTGTACATAAATACATAGAATTGGGAGAGAATTACTGGGTAAGGGACACAGCTATTACAAATCCCATTCAGGGACTGGGCAAATGGCTACTGTTATTTTTCTGAGATTAAAAGCCAACTGTTACCGTATAATGTTCTAAATGGCACAGTAAACAAAGCTTCAGCCTTAAATATTCAACTATTCTTTATTCTAGCCCTGACATCTGTCACAAAGTTCTGTAAAGCTCTGACAAATCAGATCCTCCTTGACAACACATTAGCGGGGAGGGTGGCTAAGCAAGACATAAATGTAAGAACTCACATTTTCCAGTAAATATTCCTGATTCCTTGGGTATACATTCAGAGAGAGGGTCTGGCTCTTGAAGCTAAAAAGTAAACAAACAGGTGTAATGAACATGCATATCATACATATATTACAGACATATTGTTTGTAAAGTGGGCTTTTTTGGTGGTTTTGTTTGTTTCTTTCTTTGGTTTTGTGAGGTTTTTTAGGTCCAGCATTTTGTATATCAACCTCCTCTTTGCCTCACAACCCAGGCTGTCCTTCAAATAATTGAAAACATGCCCAAAATGCAGAAGATCATATGGATCCTCAAAAAGCCAAGACTATTAGGGGTTTTTTTTGTTAGTGCACATAGGAGTCTACTTAGTTTCTTAGTCAAAAAGCCAAATAGGAAATTAGGAGTCCAGACTCCTCTATACGTTCATTCATCATTAGAAGTAGGCTTCCTGTCATCCAGAATACATCAAATGGACCTACTTTGTGCCTAAAAAAAATAAAACACTTGTCAACACTGTTCTCAGTTCACTGTTCTACTGTTACATTAGATCTCTACAACATACTTCATGTAGTAGCAAATGTCCTTGTCGTAATTAAGTGGGTGAAACTGAACAAGAACCATGTACTGAAATAAACACACAGCCTACAGAAGGTGGGGAAAAACCCTCCTTTTGGGGGTACCGCTCTCACCAGTGACTCTGTCTTTGATGCCTGATGCCATTTCCTCAGAACAACTTTAAAAGACCAGCCTGGGAATTAAAATTTGCAACTCTACTGAATATCAAAACCCACGGATGCAATAAAGCTACCAGTTTTACAGCATGCAGAATAATGCCCTCTCTTGCAGGCTGTAAACCATCTGTGCCAAGCCACCTTATCACCTTTTTTCTCCCTCTTCCTCCTTTCTTGGCTACTCAGATCCCTTCATTCCACTGGTGCTCGCTATCTTTTCTTTCAGATATCGCCTAATTTTCTGCTATCGCAACTACTTCTGCTTGTGAACACTGTCCTACCTGTGTTCTTATATCCTTATGGCTAGAACAAAACACTATCATAGTACAGGAGCTATTGGAAAAGCAACAAAAAGTAGAAAGTATTACCATGCTCCTATGCCTGACCATACTGTATAGCACCTCCCATGTGGGGAATAATTAAAGTAGGACTAACCGTTCTGGAAAAGAAAGATTTAGAAGAGAATCTAACATAGGGACATAAATCTCCTGAGTGGCTTGAAGAAGGGAACGGGTAATAATTGTTTAGTTTCTTTCAACACAAAAACTAGGGGACATTAAATGAACCTAGAGACAAACAGAAAGAGGGTCTTCGTGCTATGCAAGTTAAGCTGGGAAGCTTAGCACAGAGCATTCTAAGTTGTAAAAGCGCACATGGGTTCCAAAAGCTAGTGGATGAATTAATACAATAAAAATCCATGGCAGCATACTAAACACAAAGGTTAAGTCAAAAAGTCCACATAAGACAAACTTCTAAAGGCTGGATGAGTCTTTCAGAGAAACACCACTGCATGTTTGCTCTATTCTTACGTTCTCCGTAGGCATCCACTACTGCCCACAGTCAGCAGTGCACTAGTTACAGGTCTGACCTGCTATAAAAGTTGACATGTTAAGGATTACTGAATTCACGGGAAAGACAGATGACCATGGATAATATTGACAAGAAAGCAAGGCACTTCCATAAGAGCTTTTGAAAAGTCCTGTAGTCAGTGCAGTAAAACAGCGTTTCACCCACTGAACATGCTACAGGTAAAAAGGGTGAATGATCAACAGGTAGAGACTGTTCAAACCCAATACCAGTCTGAATGACAACATTATGCTGGGGAAGACAAATCATCTAGTAGATCTGTATCATTCTGATAGCATAAGCATCCACCTAAAAAATCTTGATGGTACCAGCAAATACAGAATGACAGGGAGATCTATGGCTCAGTCACAAGAGCTTTTGTTATTCCCCTGCTGATACAGCCTGTTCCAGAGTTAGAAAAGGAGTATGAAGAGCATCACAGATGAACAAAATAAAAGGCAGAGGCTCTGAGTAAGGACCAGACAGTCCAGGTCCAGGCTTCTACAATGGAAGAGGTCCTGGTGAATGCTCGCAACAAACAAGTGATGAAGAAAAGAAAGGTGAACTTCAATTTGCGTTCATGAAATCCTACATGGCATAAGGTGTCTGAACAGTTTAAGATACCACAAGCAAAGATGGGACCAAAGCTACTGTTGCCAGTGTTAACTAGAACTGGAGAAGTCAAAGGGTTGGAGTCACTGACTCATCATCTTAACAGTGAGATCAAATTCCAAAGTCATAACATTACCCTTTGTCTTATAACCACCAGGAGAGGAGGACAAGACAGAAGAGAAGGCTTGACGACAGTGCAAGGTTCATTAGGAACCAAGTACCACTGGGAGTACTTCTGTTGAACCAGATGGAATTTGGATTGATTCAGCTTTGGATCTCCTCACAGACTTGTATAAGTGTGTCCCTTAGAAAAAGATCATCTCATTGAAGCAACAGTAGATGCCCATGCAGAATCTAAGAAGGTAGAAGATTTGATGGAAATTGGGTCAAAGACTGCCCCACACCATCTTGAGCAGAAAATCTTGCAGGATCTTTGCTCAGACACTGGACTGTTGGGCTGAAATGGTATGAGGCAGACTCCAGTGCTTGAAAATATGCCCTTCCTTCAAGTGGTAAAATACCTATGGTATGGAATAGTAAAGGGGCCTTTTTGTGCTGCAACATGCACACAGTCCTGTGGAGATGCCAGTCAAAAAAGGAAAGGAGTAAATATGAGGGGAGGGTTGAGAGGGGCAGATCCTTCTCATGTAAGATACTTAATTTATGGAGAAAGAAGCATGCAAGACTATGTGTAGAAAATATGTTGGCTTGGAGTGACAGGGAGCGCAGCTACTCATTGCATGAATAACTGTACGGTAAAAATCACTGACAGTAGCAAAAACCTTCAGGAGTACCTAAATCAAAAAGAACTCCCTCTAATCTCTGTCCAAGTAAATAAAGAGAAAAAAAAAACCACAATCCAGTATAGTCTGCCTTGTAATCTTATTAATTTATCAGGGAAACCAAAATTTGGGCTTAAAAATACCATGTAAATTATTGAGCTAGTGAAAAAAAAACCTTCAAAATAGACAGATAGCTATATTAATTCTTCTACTACTTCCACGTCATGTTTCAGCAAGACATTTACAGAGACTTCTGGACATAGAGGCCCCTACCTGTTGATCCTCTGTTCTTAACCCGGCTTGTGTAAAAGGTCTTTCATCTCCCTCCCTATCAGCAGTTGTTGGCCTCTTTAGCTCTTCCTTGTATCTCAAGGAGCTGGCATCTCCCATTTCTCCATCATATGTCTCCTCATAGCAGTATATAGCTTCAAGAATATCATCATCAGTAGTGAACAATATAGTATCCCCAAAGTGCTCGGGAGCTGAAGGCAACATACAGAATTAGACGAAGAAACCATGGAAAAGATTATATAAAGTGATAAAACCTATTTTCGGTTCTTCTTGACATTTAATTTACGGTAGTGTTTAAATATAATATATGGTAAACTGATATTGACTACCGATACAATTAGTATGTTCATTCCCAAACTTATACTGCACTGCAGAAAACCCTACAGAACTCAGTCAAGTTTCAAATACATATAAAAGAAAATGAGAAAACAAGCTTCTCTATCACCTTTTCCAAAATACTATCTCTGAAAACAAGTAAAAATCTGCAACTTTTAAATGTCTAGTGACTATCTTGTGTTATTGAAATTTGATCTTGTAGCTAAGACATCGTTAAGAATAGAGATTAGCTCTATATCCTCAAAAACTCACAGTATCATTGAAGAACACATTAGTGGGTTTTGCATTACATTTTGAAATTAAAAGGACTAAATACTATACAAAAGTGCCAGCTTGTATAGCAAGTAGAAAGCGATAGCAAACGAGCTAAATATATGTGTTTGTATTGTACTGCTGTTCCTACAAAGAAAATAAGAAATTATAGCATACCTCCAGACAAGGTTCCTGAAGCTTTTGCAATTTCTCCTTTAAAGATGCATTGTTCATCTAACACCATTATAATGTCTTTCACACCTCTGAAAGAGAAAATATGCGAGATTTATTATAATTCCAAATCCTAATCATAGCTACTTGACAGGAATTCACAAAGTCAATAAAGATAAAGTGAGGTTTTCCAGGTGTAAACGGTGCTAGCCAGAGATGCATATCATCCTGCGTCCGATTTACCCCATCAATTAGGTTGGTTATTATTCTGGGATCGTTGCCATAAGCTGGTAAAATATTTATATCAGGCGGTTCAGCTGTTATTTTTGAAATCTGAACAGGCTCTCCTTTAGAACTGAAAACTTCAATTCCATTAAGACCAACATAATGTCTGTCTCCCCATGTTGTTCGAATGTCTATCACTAAGTGCTGCCCATAAGGTAAAACAGGAATTTTAAAATCATTTCCATCATGTGCCTCCACAGAACTTTCTTCTTGCCTTTTTGGTAGTGTTTGTAGTCCCTCTTTTCTCATTTGCTGATACTCTCCAGGCCGGTTGATTTTCTGTTGATGGAGAAACTCATCAAAGATATCCCCTTGAAAATCCATGTTAGAGATTCGGCCGCGATGGGAATAATTGAACTTTACCAAGGAGTTCCAGGACTCCTGCAGAGTGTGCTCTTGTTCATTGTGCCACTTTGCTCTAGAGGTTGCTATGTTGTTGACAGAAAAGTCTTCATCTGAAAACAACATTACATAGGCATTTAATGTATAAACAGGACTGGAAGCAAACCACTAACAACATGGACTTTCCAGAATTGTGATCGTTGTATTCCTGTTCCCTTACTGTGAAATTCTGTTACAGTAGCACTTTCATATTGCCCCCTATTATGAAGGCTACATGTCCCAACTTCCCTTCCCCATTTAGACACAACGATAAAAATCACTCTTAACTATTAAAGAGCAGAGCACATGGCAAGATATAAAATGCAACTAAGTTGGAGACTGCGAATTCTTGACTCAACTCTTACAGAAATTGGGATTTTGCCCAGTGATACTTATTCTATGTCTGTCACAATAACTTATCTGTCTG